TGTGAGAGAGAGAGAGAGAGAGAGAGAGAGAGATGTGATGGACTCGGGTGACGTTTGAAGTGATCACAGTTCGTTAAAGAAAGCTTATTACAGAACAGACCTCGAAATAAAATAAAAAAGTCAGAAACGAACGCATATATAATATACATCCAAGCAGACAGACAAATAGACACATTGCCTTTGGCGTGAGGACCAACTGGTGTTAACTCCAGTCCACAAATTACTTACATATTATACAAATTATACACAAAGTAAGCAAACCAAAAGAAAAATAATAACAAAATGGCTTATACGACAGACGGACAGACAGACAGACAGACAGACAGACAGACAGACAGACAGACAGACAGACAGATAGACGAAGAAACAAAATTGAGACCGACGGTCAAAGAGACAGACAGAGACAGACAGACAGACAGCTAGACAGGTTAACAGACAAACAGACAGGTAAAGCGACAGACAGATGGACAGTCAGACAGCCAAACAGACAAATAGATACGAAGACAAAGAGACAGGCAGCAATAAAGACAGATTAACAAACGGACAGAAAGACAAACAGACAGAAAAAAGAGACTGACAGATGAATAGACAGACAGGCAGACATATTGACAGAGAAAGAGATAGGCAGATAGACAGACAAACAGACAAACAGACAGACACATAAATAGAGAGGCAGACTGTCAAAGAGACAGATAGACAGACAGCTCGACAGATTAACCGACAGACAGGCAAAGAGACAGACAGACAAATAGACAAACAAACAGGCTTACGTGGGTGGTTGGCGGGTGCCCTGGTGTTGTTTGCTTCTTCTTTCCTATCAAACAACTATCATCCTTATCTCCCCTTCTGCTTTTGAAGGTTTGTTACTTTCTTGTAACACCTCTAATCTTCTGGCGCTCAAAAGATCTTATGAAGTTGCGAGCGCCGTAAAACCTCTACTAAAACTAAAACTAAAACAGGCTTACTGGTCTCAGGTGGTATCACAGTAGGGCGGGACCCCTGTTTCTTGCCTCCGAGCAGCGACAGTCCCACCATCAGCCCCTGCCACAGTAGTCTCCCTTGTTTGTCAATCACACTCGACCTACATCAGAAACAGTTGGCGTCACAACGGGGTGGAATCAGGCGCTCGTCAACTTTTATACATATAATATATATAGAATTATTGGTATCACCTTAGAGCTTCTGCAGTAGAAATAATTGTCGTCACATCGCGGTGGAAATCAGGATCTCGTCAATTTTTATGCATAGAGAATTATTGGTAGCACCTTAGAGCTTGTTTATTTGTCCTGCTTTCGCTGAATAAAATGCCCATCTACCTTGAATATAAGGCGAGATATATGCAATTGAAGGAGGAGGGGATCGCCTGGTGTCAGAAGTACAATTAACGAGAAAATGGTCGCCAAAGTTTAGTGACTTGCAAAGCTTGAGTGTCCTAGGAAATTTGAAATTAATTTTGG